CCCCCCCCCCCCCCCCCCCCCCCCCCCCCCCCAACCCGGCGGCTCGTCTCCCAGCGCCGCGCAGGGGCATCCCCCCGGGGCCGCGCAAAGTTGCGCGAACGCGCAACCGCGCCCGGCACCTACCCGTAGATGGCATCTTTATCTCTCTTGAGGGCATCGTTGACCGAGGCGCCCATGGCGGGGGGCATGGCGTTGGCGTGGGCGGCGTGCGGGTACTGGTGCGAGTGGAGCGGCGGCCCGTGGTTCAGGTGGTGCACGGGCTGCATGGGGCGGGCGCCGTGCGGGTCCCCGTACATGGTGGTGGGGATGCCCACCCCCTCCATGCCGCCGTAGTGGGGCAGCTCGTCGTACTGCGGGGCACAGAGCGGAGAGGGGTCAGCGGGGGGGGTCGTGGGTGCCCCTTCCTCTAGCTCCGGGGAGCAGAAGGCTAATAACCCCGGGGAGAGGGGGCGACAGCAAAATGCGGTTTATCTCGGCACCCCCCGCGCCCCCCACGGTGTAACTCGGCCCGAGCTGCCCCGCCGATAAACTTTTGGAGCCGGGTACCTAACCGGCGGGATGCGGAGTTCAGCGGTGGGGAGGGAGGTTAAAAAAGAAGGGGAAAAAACCGGGGGGTTGACTTTGCCCGCCCGCACCCCGCTCCCGGCCCCGGGGAAGGGATTTCTTTGTTAAGGGCAGCGGGCGCGGGTCCCGGGCGGGGGCAGCGCTGTGCGGGGTCCGTGCGGGGTGGGACACAGCTCGGTGGGGGGGGGACGGGGAGCGAGCCCGAGTAGCAACGCACATGGCAGCGCCGCTCGCTTTAATTCGAATTAAAGGGACGCGCTCTTGGAGCCGCACCGAAAATGAAATTTCATAAAAAGGGAGGGGAGAAAATAATAATAACAGGGGAAAAGAAAAAAAAACGGAGGGGGAGGAATGGGGGGCAAGAAAGAAGAAAAAAAAAGTTGCGCCTACAGCCAGCTCGGAGCTGCCCCGAAGGGCAGCGGCGCATCCTCGCAGCGCGGCGGAGCGCTCCTACAGCCAGACACGCGGAGTCGGGCACGGCGCTGGGCAGGAGGAGGGCAGCACCGCCGCCCCCGGCCCGGCGCCGGCCGCAAAGAGAGGGGCCCGAGAGCCGCCCCCGGGATGGGCGCACGGAGCCGGCAGCGCTCGCCGGGAGCGAGGAGCGGCCCGGGCCGGGCCACCGCGCCGTGCCTCGCTCCGAAGGGAGGGGAGGAAAAAGCAAAAAGTTTTTCGCAGCCCTCTGGCAGCCGCGTGTGGGTGTCGTTTCGCAGAGAACCGCAGGTTTGGATACGTACCCTTTGCGCCATCGGCCTGCTCGCTCCCTTCCTACTTCAACTTCTAATAAATCCTCCGTGAGGCCAGTGTGAAAGGAAAGAGCCGCGCGGTCCCCCCCTCTCCCCAAAAATGCAAAAATCCCTCAGCGTCGCCAGCCAGGAAAGCCGCCGGGGGACGTCTTCGGCTCGCCGGGGCTCAGCGGAGCGGTGCGATAACTCAGCATTAAAAAAAAAAAAAAAAAAAAAAAAAAAAAAAAAAAAAAAAAGAAGAAGAAGAAGGAAAAAAAAAAAAGGAAAAATAATAATAATAATAATAATAATAATGAAAAAAAATTACAAAAAATTACAAAAAAAAAAAAAAAATCAGTTCTGTCTCCTTCCTTCTTTTTTCCTCTCTTTCTTTCTCTCCTTCCTCCCTGCCCGCCTCTCTCCCTCTCTCCCTCTCTCCCCCTCTCGTTTCCAAGACAGCGGCGGGGCGAACGCAAATATCCGTTCCCGAGGCGCGCGGTGCCCCTCACGCCCCGCTCCCGGCTCCCATGGCTTTTTGCCACTCCGGCTGTCAATCACGGGCGGTGTCAAGGTGCTGAATGACTGATGGCGATCCGCTGCGTGCGCTCCCACCGCGCAGGACACCGCCAATGTGGGCTTTTGCTCGGGCGCGCTCTCACCAAAAAGGAAGGAAAAAAAAAAAAAAAAAAAAAAAAAAAAAAAAAAAAAAA